TCCTACTGGCTGAGTTCGATTCCCATATGGAATAACACTTTGTGTGATCCACACATTGTGGTTCAAGTCTCGGTGTTCTTTGTGTCCATTTCATGAATGTTTGTATTCTTTATGGTACGGGCCTGTTGGTCGAGTGGTTAGTGCCCCTTACTGCTAAGCCGGAGGTCGTGGGTTCGATTCCCACCCAGGACAAATATTGTGTGATGAGCATGATCATTTGTTTTGTGTCTGGGTGTAATTTATCTATAATATGTATGTATTAAAAAATATATAAGAATGTTTATCAGCAGTCTGGTCACCATAGCACAGGCTCTGCCTGGGATCAGACGGCCGTGTGTGAATTGTGTGAGGCATATAATTATTAAAAATATTATTATTATTATTTGTATAGCCCCCCGCGACACGGGATATGTTCCTAGACTTATATCATAAATGTGAAAGTGAGTTTGTTTGTTTGTTACATTCTCACACCCAAACCACTAAACCAATTTTAAAAATTCTTTCACCAATGGCAAAACATTATCGGCCAGTAACATAGGCTAGTTTTTACCGCGATATGCACAAGGTCGGAGCCTAACTTAAGGTGTTGCAATGTTTGTAAACTGTAGAATTAAATGTTTAATTTTGACAGGGATCGGTTAACTTGTTATCATGAACCAAAATAAATACTTACATTTCTCTTAGCTTTTAAATAGTAATGGGTAGAATTCTTCAAAGGAAAGTATGAGCAATAGTGAATAAACATCGTTCACATAACAAAATGGAAATTCAGTTGTGCAACAAAACTAATTTTAAGCAAATTAAAATAACTTTTTGCAAAATATTTCAAAAAGATAAATGTTCGCTTAGTTTTTGAAATATTTTTATAGTCGCGTGTAAGGTACCGGTTAAATCTTACTTTCCAAATTGCTGCACGGCCTTACAGATACATATATCATGTCAAAAACTTATTTAATTTGGTATAAGAGTAAGCGGATAAATGGTATTTAAATGAACATAGGGCAAACAAAATACCTGGCCAGTAAGTAGTACTAAGTACCTGTGATTTGAATGAAAATAAACTCTAATGAATAACGGGGAATGAAGAGTTCTTGAGTGAAGACACAAATTATTTACAATTCTCATTCATGTAAACCTATATTAATATACTTATTGGCAGCACCGATAGAATTCTAAAGGTGATATATATATATATATTTTTTTTGTGATTTATATTTTATATTCATTTCATTTTTCAAATTTTCTTTTACTAAAATTGCCTAGTATAAATTATTAAGTCATTGTTAAATTACGTGTAAAACATAGACAAAGTCTGAAATAAAGTAAAGTACAATAACACAGATACGTAAATCTGACCAGGACGTCAATTCTGCTATTTTAATATTGTATCAATAGACTGTCGATGGACTATCGTCGAATTAGTTTTGAACTTTTCGAATTCTACGAATTTTTCGAATTCAAAAAGAGTATGTTACTCTTTTTGATTTAATAGGGCGCAATGAACAAACCGGTCTCCCAATGGTAAGTGGTTACGGTGGATAAGTCAAGAATGAATCTCAATATGCCCCGTATCGTACTAACGGCAAAAGAAATATCAGGACCTCTATTCTGCTTCGTAGAATTCGAAAAGTTCAAAACTAATGACGTTATAATTGAAGAAGGCTTACTTAAAGAAATAATGGAAAACTACTGTTGAATTACAAGTCATGTATATTTATATCTGCAGTATGTCAAGGTTGTTAATTCCCGTGTATCTAAGGCCTCACGCCCATTAGCATATAAACACTATAATCAGACTAAATATATACCTATCAGGCTTTAGTGTAGACATCTCAGTACTAAATTTCAATTAATAATATTATAAAAGTGTTTCGCACTGAATCGACAATATAGACTCTAGACTTATACATAGACTTTCAAAATAATAAAATTTTAGTAAATCGTAGAGAATCTATTTCTTTACGATTTACTATAATCCCTTGTTCCTTAAATTGGGAACTTCCTTCTTTTTGAAATCGCTTTGTACTAAACCGGTAAATAAATTTGTATGACGGAGATAAGGGTAACATTGTTTTCGTTGTTTTTCTTTTGTCACAGTTGTTTTCTGTGATGTTCTTCTATTATTATATAATATTGACAGGAAAATTGATTGTTTTGAGAACCGCCTTTTATTTGAAGATAGTATCAGAGAAATAACCAACTTACATCAAAGCGCAAACTGAAACTGCTGTGTTTTTACTACACCAGTTTAATGGGACTAATCCCACCCACACACCCACCACTAACTCCTGTACACCAGGATCCACAGCAGTGACCCACGAACACACCGAGTTATGACACTCGGGAAGTCCCAGGAAGAAATTAAACTGTCTTAGAACCCGCAACGAAATTAATCAGAAGAAAATTGGAGGAGTTGGAAATACAGTAAATCCAGTTTGTACTAACACAGTATATAGTTGACGGGCCTGTTGGTCCAATGGTTAGTGGCCCTGACTGCTAAGTCGGAGGTCGTGGGTTCGATTCCCACCCAAGACAAATATTGTGTGATGAGCACGGTCATTTGTTCTGTGTCTGGGTGTAATTTATCTATAATATGTATGTACATATTTAAAAATATATAAGTATGTTTATCAGCAGTCTGGTTACAATAGCACAGGCTATGCCTAGTTTGGGATCGGACGGTGTGTGAGATGTGTAAAGTTAATCTTATTATTATAGTAAGAAATTTGTACGCCCCCTACGATGCTTAGCAGCAAATCTTGACTTTGCAAAAAGGAAATAAATGAGATTGTATTTAGGAGCGCAACGTCCAAATAGCTAAGCGAGTACCTAACAGTTAACTAAAATCAGCTGACTGTCGAATATGTTACATACATTTTTTTCTTCAAAGATCAGTTGAGCAAAAAAAATCTATCAACCATATTTATTCTTATTCTTTCTTTTTAAAAAGACAACTCCCGCATTAGGAATACATTCCTGTGTCGCGGGGGACTTTACAAACACACATGAAACGGACACAAAGAGCACCCAGACTCAGAACACATTTGTGGATCATGTCGTCAAATGTGGGGTTTGAACCCACAACACTCAGCACAGTAGAAAGCGGCGTGACGACCGCTTAAACCACTACGCCATCCGTGCAGTCAGTGCGGTCGGTATTTGTATAGAGCAATGTAGAACATTTCTTTTAAAACTGTAGGAAGATACTTTTTTATAATGTCAATGCCGATAAATAAACGCCCTTTGTAGGTTCACTTTTAATACAGTATTGTTAATCCTTTGATGACTAATTCGAAAATAAAAAAAGTTCATTGAATCCGACGAATTCCATTTTGAAACGAAGTAGCAATGCCGTGATATGAATTCTAATTGATGTTGTATATGAACTGTAAGATTGTCATGTGTCAGCTTGACAAAAATTATAATACAGTTTGTATTATTATTGTTTTTGTAAATATTTAGATGGTGGTACATCTTATTGTGTAAAGATTAATGTAACAACTTAAACTTTCAAAAGCGAATGTGAGCAAACCTAAACGGCCCTAACATCATTTAAAGGTCTCGAACTAATTTGTACCTGTCTGCTATTAAATAGTTGAGTTCACGGAGATCTGTATTATCTAGTCACGTTTTCTTGCCATTAACAGTATCCTCATGGAACTAGATCAGTTGTTATAGCTCAGTTGGACCTTGGAAACTGATTAGGCATAACATTGTATCCATTCACTCTAGATCTTTGTTAGGTATATCAAATTACAAAATCGTGTATTTTTTTTGAAACTCATAGATTTATTTCTATTAAATTTCGTGTTTTGCGCAAATAAACGGGTTTGTCTATGATACACTTTGGTAATCCAGTGACGGGGGGTATAAAGTATATCTTTTATATCTCCTATTGTTCTTGTTTCATGGTTTGTCTGCGCCCTTTCAAGGCTTCAAATTGTCATCAACTGTACTATCATACTGTTGGCCTTCTTGGCATCGAAATAACTACAACAGAATGTTAACTAGATATTTGAAATGTTACGTTCTTCCGCCAACTATACACTCATGTACAAAATGTTGTGCATTTGAAAGTCTCGGCAAAAGCTTACGTCAACAAGCTTTAAGTGTAAAAAATCAGGAATGTTTTACAGAGTTAAGTGTTCGTTACATCATCAGTGCACCTGGTCAGAGGACGTTACTCTGTTGTCTGAGTCTGTTCAACGTAATTATACTTTTAACGCCACCGGAACTTTAACACGTCATTAAAGAGATAGTATCACCGACAATCTGCAGATTCTCACTTCGCCATGATTAGCAACATCCCGACGTCGCTGTCATTAATCATTAGCTGAGCTTTCCATCTATACTTATTTCACTTATACCAACCCAAGATGGCTCGTATTGCATATTGAATAAGATATAAATTTTAATGTCTGATTTAAGTAAGGATAGTGCACCGTATGGTATGGTTCTTATAATAAACTGTTTAAATTTGAAATAGTGTTCGGATGGTAATGGATTCAAAATCGTGCAAGCTTCTCATATCGGATAGAGGCAGGCATTCGTAACTGTTCGTAACAGTTTGCCTGCTTTGTTGCTATTTTTTATTGCTTCAGGCACTTATTTTAAATAGCAGTGTTATATAAAATGTAATTGAACATGAGGTTTATTTGACCAACTGTATAATGCACTATATCAATTACTGACCGACTTAAAGAGTAAAATGTTCAAAAAGAACTATGTTTATCTATTTAAAATTTAGACTTCTTACGTGACTAGTGATTGGTGTTTTGCACACAGCATAGATTTTTCCTTTTTTTTTCTATAACATAAAAACCAATCATGTAAGGCTATGCAACTAAAAATATTACGATAACTCAAAAACTATATAGATTTCAGTAATTATTTTACTAAATACATGTCTTAAAAAAATCTCCCTATTCCGAATAATTTATTATAAAGTTTTATGGTTTATATACTGCTACAGATTTGACATATATAGTTTTTTGTTACAGACGCAGAGAATGGATTGCGGAGCCAATGAGCTGGGCAGGAAACTGCGAATTGATCAGGTAAGTGCACATGACTCATTGAAAGATGACAAATTTATTTGTAAAAATACAAATAAATAGTCATCAATAGTCATCAATACGAATAAATAGTCAATTTATTTGTAAAATACAAATAAATAGTCATCACATAAACTATTATATTAGTTATTAATTATCACATAAACTACTTAGCTTAGTATATAGTAGTTTAGTATGTGTTATTTTGGAGTATATAATATTTTGCTTAACCATAAATTCTTGAAAAAATATTGCCATTCGTAGGATATATACTCTCACCAGTCTGACATAAATGGCGTGCGCGTAAGCTGTCAAATTGACGTTAGTGACGTAACCGGTTTGGCACACCTGTACGCAAAAAGTGGAGTATACGATCAACTTTTAGTAGGTTAGTATTTATGGCATGTAATTATAAACTTGTTATGATATTATTGAAAGTCAATTACTGTGCATTTCGTACTTTATCTAACCGTACAACTTATGAGTGTTTCGTTTTTTATTAACCTTAATTTATAAGGTTTAGTCAGTTTAATAGTAGAATTACAAGCAAAGAAACTTCTGATTCTGATAATAATCGAAGAAGGAAAGACAACGCAGGCCTTCCTTAAATTTTAATCACTCTTTCCTATGAGTGTCTACATGTTTTTCAAAATGTAAATTGCTATTGGCCTGCGTCATTTTAGTGTTAGTCATCCCAGTCATTCAAAATTCTTCCTTTTAAATCCTTTTCTCGATGTTGTTAGTTCGGAAACAATAAAGATACTATACGATACGATACGATTTAAATAATAGGTTTTTTTTTTCTAAAAAATTACCTATTTTGTTTTAGTAACAAACACTTTTGCCAGTGTTTGAAATATAACAAATGCACGTGGAAAGGTCCTTATCCTCATTTTACGCAATCAAAAAACAATAAAACAAAACTAATATCAGAACCGCTTCTATTCGATATCACAAGTCGTGATCGGTTTACGTAACGGTCCACCGGCCCGCACTGAGCTTGCGCGTGAGATGGTTCGATATATCGACTACTTTTCATCAATACAGTACTCATTATTATACTTTACGAATCGATTCCAATTATTTATATAAAAAAAGCTCAATTGTCATCTTAAAATTGAACTCATTTTTTTTTAAGAACTGATTTGAGGTGGCCTATCTAATTAGTTTCAATTACTCTGTTGCTTTGTTAGATAACTTTGATACAAAAATAATATATTTTGCGAACATCCAAGATTACTCTGTTTTTTTTTTGATGGGGTGGAAAATCCCTTCGGATCTAAGGCCCAGTGCCCAGTGGACTCAGGAGCCAGGAGTATGCGGTGTTTCCACTAAAAACAACCGTTACAGCCGGCTTCAGGTGCTCTTCTCTGGAGAGAACCCGGACCATGTCATTTCAGGTCCTTCCCGAATCTATTCCATATCTCTGGGAAAAAAAAGCCAATGTTACATCGTATTGGCGGGCTGTCACCCATCTTCGAACTGACTACAGCCGATGTTGCACTAATCGAGAGAACACTTGAGAACATGAAATACACTACACTATGTACTATAAAACGTGTGTTTTGGTGTATGCTTTGTTAGTTGCCCTAAATAAATTAAAAAAAGAAGTGAGGAACACCATTTTTGTTCTTATTCTACATATTATAAAATAGTGACTCATCGTGTCACACTATAAAAATAAATCATCGTTATTTGACTATTAAATAATGATACGTTTGATTAAGATTTACAAATAAAGTAACATTGTTTCTAATCCATACTAATATTAAGAGTATAAATGGGAAAGTGTGTCTGTCTGTCTTTCTGTTACCTCTTCACGCTTAAACCGCTAAACCGATTTAGAAGAAATTTGGTATAAAGATAGTCTGAGTCACGGGAAAGGACATTGGGTAGTTTTTATCCCAGAAATCATCCTTTAAGGGGGTGAAAAGCGGGTGGGAAGTTTGTATGGGAAATCAATAACCGCTATACCGATTAAGATGAAATACGGAGATACTTACTTTAATTTTTGAGAAAAGACATAACGCGATAGCCGAAACTAAAAGCTAGTACAAATAATATTGCAAAATAGTTGAGTACAAAATATCTAATGCACATTTTCTGCATTACAATACTGACTAAACTCACACATGAAGTTGTATCGACATATTTAAATAAATGCTTAATACGGCCTCCTTTCTATGCAAGTGAAATGATGGGCTGTTCGTATAATAACTACTGAATCAATGCCGATTGACTTGACTTCAAGGTTTATTTTTGCATTTTTTTATGTGTTTTTACTTTTATATACTCATATACATTTATATGGCTGTATAACAATGACGGAATATAAAATGTACCTCAGACTCAGAAAAAAATGTGTCGATTCAAGATACTTTTGGCAGTCGTGTGGGCAATGGGCAAGGATTTTATGTTAATTTATTTTATTTGAGAAAAACAAACAGTAAAATAAGTATACATATGAAATCCTTATAACTAAAGTTAACTAACATACTACCCACTACATTTTCCACCGAATACCTTATAAATAAGTCTATTGTTAGCAAACATGAGCTGTTGACGCAGTCAGATAAACGGAAAAGCGGAAACAAGAAACAAAATATTAGTAACTGAGATAAACAAAGTATCAGTTAGACTGCACGGATGGCGTGATGGTTTAAGTGGTCGCCACGCCGCTTACAACTACGCTGAGTGTTGTGGGTCCGATCCCCACATGGGACAACACTTTGTGTGATCCACAAATGGTTGTTCCGAATCTGGGTGTTCTTTGTGTCCGTTTCATGTATGTTTGTAAAGTTCCTTGTCGACACAAGATGTATTTATTCCTAATACCGCGAAAACAAGCCAAAGTTGTCTTTAAAAAAAAAAACACTGCCTATTGCCAATATCTTAATACTGCAGTTATGTAACATATAATAATATATCGATTGCACTAAAATGCTTATTGTACGTGTCAACTAAAAGCGGTAAAGAGGCGTACGCACTCCAGAATTTGTTTTACAGCGTCTAGTCGCAAATAGGTGTCTGGTTCACACCTCCCGCCCATCCTGGCTTTACTGTTCAAGGAACCAGGTAACACAAATTATTCACTCAGTCAGGACAATCAAATTTCTTGCGGCAAGCTATACATTGCTTGGGTTATATTAGACACCTTACATTACTAAATATTAAATAACTCTGATTTTTTAACCATGTTGACTATTCTTTTAAATATGCTTTCGAAGATGGCTATTCATTAACAAATAACTGGCGAATGAAGAATGAATAAGGAAATATTCCAGATGCATGTGCTGATAGAAAGAAAAAGTTCATTTTAATGACATTGCAACACAATTACAATATTATTTTACAGATTCAGAACATATAAAGTATACAATACACAATACTATATTTACAATACTATATATGTTCTGAATCTGTACAATACTTGACTGAGTCAAAAATGTATAGTTCATAGGAAGGCGACATAACTGTTGCATTGAAAGTGGAGATTTTTTTTGGGATTGTTCTTCACGTGAAGATAGATTAGCCTTTAATCCAGATAAAATAATGTCCTCGATTATTTTAATAAATTCGTACGTCCAAAACACTTAAAAGTTGTCGATAGACTCAAAAGCATCAGAGGTATATAACATAAATCCTGTTAAAAAAACTAGCTCTTACCAAAAAGGGTAAGCAAATAAAACAAAATGCAAACGTATGATCTAAGAACTAACCGATTAAGTAGGTTACCCAATAACACCCACGGGTCTAACTAATATATCTCGGACAAGACCACACCGCGGCACTTATTAGCATATCTTTATAAAGAAGAGCTAAACAAATCGCATTTATAATATTAGTTAGAATTCATTTATATTCATATGTCATAGTTAACAGAACCTGTTCGACTAAAGATGACAATAATGTTTGTACTGCTTTGAAAGCGCTAGTTTGGTATGTTTATTACGGTGTTATGAAAGTAAAACCTGTGGCGTATTTAAAGCTAGAAGTTTTGTTTTTGACGCTCGGATGCTGAGATTAAAATTGTTATAGATTAAAAAAAAAACCTTTAGATGATGTTTGAAATAAAACATTGTTCGAACGACATAAATTTCAAAAAAGAAAACATCGTTTTTTAAATGCAAATTGCAAACCAGTCCTCAGTCTTGTGTAGTAATTGTACCAGACTGGCTGATCATGCCTCGCAGACGGCGGCTCCTGATATTAGAAGTATAATATAGGTAAATAAGTCTATAAGTATAGTAATCGCCGCAAGAACTTATATTGAAGTAAATTATTATACATAAATATATTGACATTAGTATATTGACTTCACGCATGACGTAGAGCTTTATGCGTTTACCTCGCTGCTTTCTACTGCGCTAGGTGTTGTGGGTTCATGGGTTACATGAATGTTTGTAAAGTCCTCCGCGACACAGGATATATCATAGTGCCGGAGTTATTGTCTTCTTAAAAAAACAAAAACATTATTGCTATAAACATTATCTCTAATCATAGAACGGCAATGACCAAAGTCTCTTTAAGCTCCAACACTATCAGTCCCGTTTACTTTTCCGAGAAGATATATCCCTTCCACTGGCTTTCCGTCCTTCTTTCATTTTTCCCGTATATTGCAATCCCAGGGAGGATATTATTAGCTTTTGATAGTTCTAGCAGGACGGTCTAATGTGCATATGTATAAAAATTTCCTTCAATGATCCTACTAAATTATAATATTAGCATGGTCTACTATGTAACAGAGAAAAAGAGATCGGACACCGTCAGGAACTTCTACAAATACTTGCTTATTATTTATTTATATATTTATTGCATACAGTTAACACATTACAAAAGATGAGTTACAAATATGTATATAGACATAACAATCGACGGTCTTAAGGCTCACAGCGATCTCTTACAGACAACCTTATCTTCAAGAGAACATTAATATAATTTTTACTTAATGAGGTGTTTATAACAAAATTATAGTAGCTTTCCATCTCTTCATCAGCACTGTG